AGAGAGAGAGAGAGAGAGAGAGAGAGAGAGAGAGAGAGAGAGAGAGAGAGAGAGAGAGGGTTGGAATGTAGGAGTGTAGAAAGACTGAGGCCGACACAGTCCATGCAGCATGAAAGACTACAGCAAGATGAGAACAAAAGAAATATCCTTCCGCCAAGCAGAACTCTTCCATAGCACATATAAAACAATGAAAATACAAAGGCTTCTCAAACCCTGTCTCTTTCCCAAGTCCATCCCTCTTTCCCTTTTCCCTGACATCTCCCTCGCCATAGCCATTCCATAGCCACCATCTCCTCCAACGAGCTTTGTAGTATCCTCAGTGCGTTTCTGCCCGTCCATGATCGGAATGATCAGGAGGTGGAATCCACAACGAATTCCACAGCTCAAGACACAGCATAGGCCCTGCTGTACTCTGGCACACCAGTCCCGGTACGGCGGTACCCGTGCCCCGACCGAAAACGGCCGCCAATTTCAAGAATCTTTTGGAAAAAACAAAAAAAAAAACACAATTCAAGAAACCAAGCTTGGTCTAGCCGCCAGGAACCAAGCTGCCGGTCCCATCTCCACTGTTCTTACACCTTCAGACGCCCGAGAATATTCAGAAAACCCTGGCCTCCAACGGGTCTGCGCCCGAGATGCAGTGGGTCTTCCCTACCAGAGCCTTGAGGCCCTAAACTACCCCTATTCATCCCATACTGAACTCTACATCAGACTTGTGTCATTCTCAGAGACTGTAAATTTTTTTTTTTTTTTCGAAGGGCCACGGTCTTGAGATATTATCATTGAGCTGACCGACCCCAAGCAATTTATTAGTAGTTGGTTTCAATTGTCAAGTTCCATCAGCTGGATTCGAACACTGTGGCATACTGCGTAGCCACACGGGCCCTGCAGGGCCCGTCCCGGACATTCAGCCTAAAAGCCTAAAACTTAGGGCTTACAGGCCCCGGTCGTTTCAGCCTGAAAGCTGAAAAACGAGGGCCTGCAGGCCCTACTCCGTTTCAGCCTATTTCTGGGTCTTTCAGACCCAGAGTTTTTCCAGCCTGAAACGGAGGGCCATTTTCAGGCCCGCATTGTGTTCCACCTACCTAAGACTCAGGCACAGAAACAGGGTTTCCGGAACAGGCCAGAAATAGCCTGTTCCCCACGCCAGCTCGAGCAGGAGCTGCAGCTGCAGCCCCTGCCTCCCTTCGGCATTGGCAAGAGCAGCCTCCTGGACTGCTCGCACGAGTCAGGAGGCACACCCGGTAGTACATAGGAAGTTCCCATGCACTTCACGGGTAGGTATTCAGACAGTAGTCAGGGTAGTCTTCAGGATAGCGGAGCAGCACTCAGGAGGAGCACTGCCCAGGGCAGCTTAGCACTAGTGTAGTCTTCAGCGCTGGGCGCTATAGCAGTAGTAGTAGTAGTGATATGGGAGAGAGGTGACTGGCGGAGGCCAGTAGTACTTACCTGTGGCGCCATCGCTCCAGCTCCATCTTCGAGGTACCTGCATCACAGCGCCACCTTCACAGGTTAGTACTGGACTGAGAGAGAGAGAGAGTTCTTCCACCATCTCTTCTTCCCCTCTCGCTGCCTACTTCTCACTATCTGTGGACTACGAGAGAGAGATATGACCTGAGACTTGACAACATTGGATACAGACTCGACATTTGGGATTCAGACATTTTGATGAGGGACTATTTGGGCCTGTGCCGAAGACTTGGTATTGACGACATTCCCATCTTTCCCTCCTCTTCATCTAACCCCCCTCATCTTCGTCTGTGTATGTGTGGGGCTGGCACAGTCTTCCTGTGTGAAGCGCCAGACCCCTTTCACACTCTGGGATGATGATGATGTATGTTCTGGGCTGCATTGCAACATTGATTGATCGGATCATTGGTATTTAAGTCTTCCGTTTGCGCCATCTTGTACTTTGCATTGAGAGGTCGGTTCTTGTTCTTGTCTGCACAGTTACAGTATGCAACAAACACAGGTCTGTATTTCAACAGTTCATGGGTGTTTCCACTGAGCTAGGCTCAC